AAGTAGTTTTGCCTATTAAAGGCAAGGAGATGACTTTGGTTTCTAACATGTAGATGAGGATGATGATGAGTTTGATTACTTTGATCAGATGTGTGCCAACTCACACACTTTTAGGGCTTAAGGTCCTGTCAAATCCTTATTGTGCACTATTCTCATATAGCGCACAGTTGGCAGCGTGAGAAATAAAGTCAAATCCAATTAAATTGGTTCTTATTGCTTGGATTCTTTTGCTTTACAACAAGAACAAGGCAGAACATAAATAATCAAGTTATAATAGTAAAGCTTAGAAGACAATATGATACTGCATTGTTTTAGATTAGCTATTTTTCTGTAAGTGTCTTTGGCGCATCTTACAGGAAAACCACAAATGAATTTTTAGCAGCAGTGCAGATATGTATAGCATGTTGTGCTCTCTGACTCACTACAGCTGGTTATAAGCGCCATCATTTACCACAGAGCCCGCTATTAACCTGTGAACTTCTTTATCACAGAGGATCCACCTGCAGGACCAGTGTATGCCGTGTCATTCAGAGAGGAAAGAAGAAATCCACATCTCCCCCGATTGAACTGGAACACCAGCCTGTGATGCCCCCCTTTGGTTCAGTCACATTTGAAATGAATGTTAATCTTTAAATTGGATGAAGGAACTCGTTTTTTGAAAGTACAGTGCCTCATAAATGTCTCAATATGAAATTATTTTTTTAATTGATAATCAATAAAGCAGGAGTAGGATACAAATAAATCAAATAAGTGTAAACTTCTTCCCACCCCTTTTCGGATGTGTAATTAGTATCATTTGTTATACATAATTTAGAATCAGTAATATTTTTGTATATCAATTTGACACTGCTTCATTTTGTATTGTATAATAATTCTCATGTTACATTTTTGTATTATTGTTTTACACATTTGAAATAAATCAAATCAAAACAATATCTTGATTTTACTCTTGACCAAAAGTTGATATTTTTGATTAAAAAAAAAACGGTTGCATTTGATTCTGAGATAATTGACCTCAACCTAAGCAAATTTAGTCGTGTATATTTCTCAAAAATCAGACTGAAACTAATCGAAACATCGGCTTTTTGCAATCAGTCTGCTAAGTGTACATATATTAGCTCTTCCAGAATTGTCCAGGCTGTAGAGTAGTCAAACACAGCTCACTTGTTCCTGATGTAAGCATCCAAGTGTACGATGCAAGAGGAACAAACAAAAGACCTGCTGACTCCTTAAAAGGAAGTCAAAAGGGATCAAGGACACATGCCTTCAGTGTTTGATGCAGCTGAATCCTGTGATGTGTGTTTTCTCGCTCTGCAGGTAAACCGGTGAATTCTCTGTTTGTCTCTCCGGCCGTCACACCAATCAAAAGTCTTTTGGAGCCGTACTCCAACAACCCAGCTTTCCGCATGTACCTGTACGACACCGAGGACTTCTCCATGCAGGTGAGGAGCTCCAGGGTACACAAACACAACCAGCAAACTGTTCCACCAAAATAAACAAATTTAAAGAACAAAATAAAAGCTTGTTTGAGGCCTCTAGTGCAGTGCTTCTCAAAGTGTGGTCCGTGAGCGCCCCTAGTGGTCCGTGAGTATATTGGTAAAATTTCACATTTGAAATAAATAAATAAAATTAAGTTTTCTGCGCTCTCACGGGAATATCTCAGCAAAGGAGCGAGCTTAAGTTTCACTTTTGATTGCATGATATAGCCCAGCGCAACACCTTCATCACACAAGTTGCCACTTGTTTGTACCATTTTCAGGCGATTTGTAATATGTTCTAGAAAAACGATGTGATTTTGGATATTTGTGGAGTTAGGTGGTCCGCGAGTGTTTTTTTATTGGTCAAGTGGTCCTTGGTATGAAAAAGTTTGAGAAACACTGCCTAGTGTGATCCTTTTATGTTTTTCTTATCACAATGAAACCTTATTGAGTTGAAAAGCTATTTTCTGAGATCTGAGTTTGCAGGCATTTTGACAAAATTCAGGTCCAACCAAAAATGTCTGAACTGCAATATGCACTCTTAACTTTTACTCAACCTGCAATACACTAACAGAAAACAATACAAAAGGCATAGGTAATTATTTTTGGTTTCTTTTCCCATGTTAAAAAACCTGCTTGGATCAGCTTTTTTGTTGGAAAAAAGGTTACACTAATAATAATAAAACTTTGGTAAAGGGCTTTGGTGTTATCCTTCATTTTTTTTTATAGCTTGATGAAACCTTATTTGACCTTATTCTAAAAATCAATTCTGTGTTTTCAAACATATAAAACATATTCAGGTCCAATTTTAAATGTCCTTCTTTGAAATACTTACTTAACTTTAACCAAAGACAGAAGGAAAAAAAGTCTTAAACAATACAGTAACACTTTGGTAAAGGGCTTTAGTGTTATCCTTTATTTTTTTATAACGCAATGAAACCTTGTTTGACCTTATTCTAAAAAGCAATTCTGAGTTTGCAAACATTAACAATATTCAGATCCAAATTTAAATGTCCTTCTTTGAAATACTTACTTAACTTTAACCAAAGACAGAAGGAAAAATAGTCTCTTTGATGATTCACCACGCTGTCAATCAGCTCACAATAACTGTGTTGTTGTATTCAAAAGTCTCTTTCTCTCTTTCGGCCCTTTTCTCCCTGTGAAGGACATCTGGCAGTACTTTCTGAATCTGACGGAGGCCAACGAGAGACAAAGTGCTGCGTGGAGGCGGGAGTACGTCCTGAGGGAGGCGTTCGGATTGGCCGACCTGAAGCCGCTCAGCCTTCTGAAGCTGGGTCTGAGCTTCATGGAGCAGAGCACAGCCTTCGATTCGTACTTCAAACACTTCATGGTGGGCTACGACAGTAGCTTCAGCTGCGGGGGGGCGTGTAAGATCAGCCAGGTGTGTGCCATGCTCTACCTGGACCAGCTGGCATACTCCAGATGTGTGAAGAAGGGAGGAAGGTCCAAGAGGAGGGATTCATCTCAGGGGCCACTTTTTAGATAATTCTCACTCTGCAGGAGTCATGAGAAGGGCCTTCGGGTATCAAAGCTATCCAGATTATAAACTTCCCAATTACACGAATAATAAGGTATTTCATACAGAGAACATTAAGACATATATATAGATTTAGATGTGTGGAGAAAGGAGACATTTAGATCTACATTTTGTTAAAAGAAATATATATATATCTGTTAATAATTTAGTTTTTGGGAGAAGGGGTGGGATTAAATAAGTGTAAACTTCTTCCCACCCCTTTTCGGATGTGTAATTAGGTAGATCATTTGTTTATATCATTTGTTACTGCTTAAGTTTGTACAATATCATAATTCTCATGTTTCATTTCATTATTAATATTATTGTTTTACACATTCGAAATAAATCAAATCAAAAGGGACGATGGTAGCATGGAGGGCAATCCATTCTACAATTTACTGTGTTTGTAGTGGTGGTAGTAGTAGGCGGCGGCTCAGTGGATAGTGTGCTGGACTTTGAATCAGGGGATAGCAGGTTCAAACCCCACTGCGGTCAGCATGTCGTTGTGTCCCTGAGACACTTCACTCCAAATTGCTCCTGTGGGGATTGTCCACAGAACTGAATGTATGTCAGTTGCTTATGGTAAAAGCATCTAACATGTAATGTGTAGTAGTAAGTAAACAGTTTCTCATAAAGAGGAAATACTCTGCAATAACTTTTATGGGACAATAATATCTTTCTAATCTCAGGTTTTAGACCTTTTTTAAAGTAAAACAATTCCTCTCTTACCCATCAAATCAGGAGGGATTCATCTCAGGGGCCACTTTTTAGGATATTTCTTACTCTGCAGGAATCATGAGAAGGGCCGTATACTGGCTCTGTATTTAGCTTTTACTGTTTATTTGATTAAATGTAAATGTTAGTTCCTACTGATCGGTTCCAGCCTCCAACTGGCTTTGCTGTTACCAAAAATCCATCCTACAATTTACAGTTTCTTTTCTTACTTTTCAGGCATCAAAAGTTTTCCAAACGGCATCTAGATGAACATTTGCACTGTTTCCACATTCTTCGGTTAAGGAGGGATTTATCTAAGGACTTTTTGAGTTTTGATAAAAACTATTTTTAACTTTCTGGAATAATGAATGGGACGTAGAATTTTTTGTATTAAACATGCATTTTACCTTCTGGTATCAAAGCAATCCAGATTATAAACTGCTGAATTACACAATAATTAAAAAAGTCTTCTTACTAGAGACAAGAAGACTCATTCAGTTTTTGATTTTTACTTTTTTTAACTGATACCATGAACTGCAGCTGCTGCTTAGGACTTTACATTCAGATTTCATTTGATTGCACATATTATTTTTCAGTCATTTTCACTTTTGAAAACATAGTAAACAACTGAATAACCATTTAAATATAGTGGACATACACAGATATAAGTTTTATAGACATCCTGATCATGGTTGCAACCTTAAACATGATGTCCTCTAACTCTTCTGGGAATCACCTTTCTTTAAAGGAGATCACTTTAAAGGAACGTCGATTAAAATGTACGAGTTAAGGGATTTGTCTCAGAGGTCACAATTACTTTTAATAAATATGTTTGTACTTGAATCATGAAACGGTTATAATGCACTGTTTGCATTGTGTCAACATATAATAACTATCACATGCTGTTACATAAACAATGAAACACGAGTGAAGGACATATGATCACAGAGAGGTTATTGATTTGAAATGTTATTTTTTCTACTTAATAAAGACCTTTATTCAAACACTGTGTTTAACGCCGTTCTGTCTCAGAGCTTAACCTCAGCGCTGTTGCTAGGCAGAAAGTCACAGTAAACAAACGCTGAACAGTTTCTCTCTTTTCTCAGCAAACTAACCTCAACTGACCCTCTCTGTTCAGCTTCACCATCCCATTCTCCTCCTGTTCAAACCTTCCAGAAAGTCCTCTCGTTTCTCAGCCACCAACTAAAGCATCCCCCCCTCCTCCCTCCAGCTCTTTTGTCCCCCTCCTATTGTTGATTACACGTCTCTTAAAGCTCCAGTGTTTTTATTAAAATGCATCGACTCAAGTCACCAGAAGTTGGCCTGCAATAGAAATGATCCAAATGATAGCCTGACTCATTCTAGTTTAAATCAAAGTGGGTGTGAGGTGGCAGGAAAACACATTTACACAAAATAAAACAATGTATTTTAAGACTTCACTGCATTTCTTGTAAATAATGGGATAACAATATATATTCAAAACTCTATAATTCAGAGTAAAATTACGTTATAGTTAAAGTGGAATTATAGAGTTTTGAATATATATTGTTATCCCATTATTTACAAGAAATGCAGTGAAGTCTTAAAATACATNCACACACACCCCACACACACACACACACACACACACACACACACACACACACACACACACACACACACACACACACACACACACTCAGATTCCAGCTCCACAGGAGGGGCAGTCGCTATAATGTCCTGACAGTAATCCTCAGATTAATTTACTGTGAGGCACCAGCACGCACGCACACGCACGCACACACACACACGCAGCACGCACGCACGCACGCACGCACACCCACACACTTTTTCTATCTCATTGACCCTTCAGTTACCATCTTTTCATTTAATGTTCACAACTTTTCATTTTGAAGAGGTGGAAAGTGTCTTACAAGGAAAATCCACCCCAAAACAACAGCGAAACTGTATAAAATATGTATTTAATAACTCTGATATTCTAGACGTAGGCTATGCTTACTCATTCAAATAAATGCATTTTCGATTTCACAGTAAAGTTCTCAGATTTTGTATTAGATGTTATATCATTAACGTGTGCTTTCCTCTTTATTTAATACACAAATGTCACTTGTATCCGCGCTGTGTCTTTGCTGTAACACTGTAAACATCCCTGAATACATTCACATTATTAAAACTAATCATAAACGGGTGATATCTTTAAATATACTTCGTTTTTCAGACCGTGATACCACATATAAAAGTAACCTAAATGGAGTTGGTGGAGCGGTGACCTCAGAGAGGGATTCAGAGGAGCTTAACTGTCGTTTCCGTGGAGATGGGAGTCCTCTCCATCGCCATGCCCACCAGCGGCTCCGTCGCCACGGCTACGAGCTGTCAGGCTTTCAGTGTGGAATAATAACAGCATGGGGGCACATGAGGGGAGAGACTTCACAAACAGGAGAGATTCACTGCTGCAGGAACTTTCTAAACTCGATGTCTCTCTTGTTTCTGAAGTTTAAAGAATAAGAACAACTTACGGAGAAGCAGCGTTACCTGACATTCCTGAGAAGTGCTCCTGGCATGACTTCACAGTGAAAGGAGAGCAACAAACAGAGAAACTTTGTCTCAACTAAGTCTCTTTTCTCCATCTGAAGAATGGAAAAAAAACAACTTCTAAAGATCCAACTAACTTAAAAGTAAAAACGTGATGAAATAAAAAAAAAAAAATTGAAAAGTAAAGATTTAGTTGAATCCAATAAGCTTCAAATCATGTGCATAAAAAATAAAAATTTCCAAATGTTGTTTCAAATTATTCAAGATGATGGATGATTGTAGTTTTTTAATGTTTGTTTGCTTGTTTGTTGTGGATGTGATGTTATTTAATAGTGTGCATGCCACTATTAAATAAGCAAGTCTACTCTATTAGTTTTCCTTTTATCTTTATTTCTGTAAGAATTAAATGTAGACCCTCTTCGACGAATACTGACTAAAATATTATTAAAAAATGTGGAAAAGGAATTTTAGTTTTCTTGGGATTCCGCAGAACAATTTGTATATATGTTTGGGCTGTGAACACTTTAACTATAACGTAATTTTACTC